CTTACATGACGCGTCGCTTGTCCATGAAGGCGTCGGGGCCAACAGTGCAAGCAGAGGAAACATAATCGGCGGTTTCGCCGATGAAAGGCCATCCCAGAGAGCCTAAGGGAAGCTGATGATTTCTGGCGTGCCTTTTGAGTCTGAACCTATTCTGGCAGAAGATGAGGACCACCGTGGACAAGACCAGAATTAAGGCTGTCACAAACACAACCCAAACGTTGTCCATCATGGATGATGTTGTATTGGCTAGCTCTCTGCCTCTATAAATACCACTTGCATGCTTGGCATAAATAAATAATTATATGTCGGAAATATGAAAAGACATAATAAAGTCTCAAGAATCCATTTGAAGATTTTGAAGATCTTGAAATTTAATTTTACATATTTTGTTTTAGTTATTATAACATTGCACTTGCTATTATTCTTGTGAGATTGTTGTTACTTTTTTTTAGGATTTTACCTATTATTGTTGTCATTAAATGTAATTTTAAAATTTTTTTAAAGTGAGTTAAAACATAAAAACATTGTCTTAATTCATTTTCTTCATAGATTTCATGATGAATTGAATTAGATTGACCTTACTGGCCAAAAACAAAACAAAACAAAACAAAGAAAGAAAGAATAAGATTGACCTTTCTCTCTCTTTTCCTTTTCTCCTTCTCCATGTTCATCACTTGACATCGGAACATGGTTCCCACTTCATTCTTTCATAGTCAAACTCATCTGAATCATCATATCTCTCCTAAGCAAAGATGAACAAACTTGGAGAGTAAATTTTAACTTACGACTCGTTAAATTACTTAGTACGGCATCTTGATCCTAAAATTAAATTAGTGAAATTTTTGGATATAGAGGTATTTTATTTTGTGTTCCTTTCTACATCTTTCTTTCTATAATTTCTTTTTTCTATTATTTTTGTTTCTATATTTTTCTTGATTTCGTTCACTTTTTTGTTTAATTTAAAAAATAAAGTGGATGAAAAATAAAAAGAAAGAAAAGAAAAGGACTAGAAAAAGAGAGTGAAAAATACTTTCCTAAAATGAGTTTTATTTTCATATTTTTAAAATTTCTTAAAATTTATATTAATTATTATCTATTTTAATTTGTTGCTTCACTAAGCATATTCTTATCTTTCATAATCCCAACACACATCCACCTCACACATTTCAACCTATACTTGTGTCAAAATTTAACCTAAATTAGTTAAAGTTTGTATCAAATTTTCTAAGAGATTTATAGGTTTTTGGAGGTTATTGTAAATATTTCACTCATATTATTACTTATTTAGCAAGTGTAATTTCTGAGGAGTTTCTTAGTTTCCAAAAGGTTAAACTTATTAAATAGAGTTTTCACATTTTATATAAAGATTGGGAAAATGTAAAAACTTTTTATTCAATACAATATTAAAACCACTGTAAACCATGTACAGTAACACCCGTGAATTTTGCATGACCATTTGAGACATACTCAATAAACAAGATGCATTTGACCAAAAATTTACTATCCTAAAAACCACCATGACCCACAATAATGAAAACCCCTAGACAACTATGAGAATCTTGAAAGAGCAAACAAAGTATGTGAACCAACTAACGTAAGATTGATGAATTTTCTTTCCATGATTTCTTTTTTTGACCACCATGCATAACGGAAACACAAAAGATAAATTTTGAATTTCCACCCTTCTGATCAGTTCCTCTTTTCTCTCTAAACATTCTCTTTCTCTCTCCTCCTTTTCTCCTTCCTCCATTGTGCATCGATATATATATAATATATATACCCGTGATGATCAGCATATGGGGTTCACAATGCAGCTTTAATTGTGAAAGAATGATTGTGCATATGTGTTTAGGGACGCGCGCGCTCGGGAAGGGGGGGGGGGAGAGAGAAGAGAGAGCCGACGGAGAATATTTATAGTACGCTTTCAGAAAAGCATACCGAACTTATAAGTAATATATATATATATATATATATATATGCTGCATATTATTGTCTTCAGTATTCTTTTACCTCTCACGCCAGAGGTGCTTTATACTCACACGCACACAACGCAGCACGGGTGAATAAAATTCTGAATGATTTGAGAGTGTTGGCGTCAGCCTAATTAATATATAAAACTAAAATGCAGGTCATTGCTACGTTTTGTAAAGAGTTTATGGTGAAGTACATTGTTCCTAACTCATAAATAATATATAGCAATTTCTCATGGCTTATGATGAAAGATGATATGACGCACCAACAACAAGAACTTAGTTCAACATATAAGGATATTGTATTAGTTTTATCAAAGATCTCAAGTTTGAATCTAATGATGAAGTAATATTTGGTGATAGAACTTTCACCTTTGACCTAACTCAATCCAAATTAGTTGGAATGGTTGACTTTCAAACACCAAATCATTTACTAGAAAAAAAATGATATGGAAGAAGGAAAGATTTTCATATTGTTTGATAATAAAACACTATAAAACCCACATCTAGTATTTAGTCCTGTTTTGAATATAATTATCTTTAATAAAAAATATCATTAATGATAAAAAATTTTATGAAAGTGTGGAGAGAAAAGCGATCTCAAGGGTATATATGAGGACATGATTGGAAGTGGAAGTTGGGGGGCCTCGTGCCTTCATGTGAGATTCCAGAACTCCATCAATATATATACGCACACGATAATCATCATCATTATCATCGTAATCTCTTAAAATCATGTGGCAATCCAATTGCATTTCTCATTTTTTATCTTCAACGATCTTTTCTCATAAATGCGAGCGGGAGAGGTCGCATGACTTAATTTAGTTAGATTTTTAGTAAAACTGCTCTTTCATCATATACAAGTGAATTCGATGGTTAGCATGAATGGTATTAATTTAGTTAATTTGAGTTTATTTTTTATATAATACTCCTCAGGTCCGCAATATCGATCTATAATTTATATTAGTTGAATTAAATATTTAGTTATATATACGTATGACGTTTCTTATCATGATCCTGTAGCGTTGACGTGGGAGCCGTGTGGAGCTCGACTTCACACTTGACTTGTTGTTCATAGCGCCTTAGAGACTCATCTAAGCTGTGACTATAAGCTCTTGGTGATCTTGGATATCTAGTTTTCAAGCGTGTAGATCTCTAACTCTATTGGAGCTCCAATCATTGGCCACACGAGTACATGGATCCATGTATGGATCTTTGACTCTATTGGTGTCCAGGTGACAAGCCCACCATCTGAGCTATAAGACTCAACAAAACCTTCAGTGTATCAAATTCATGGCGACGTCATTGCTTACATGCACGAGTCCGTGCCATTCTTTATTTGTGGTTTCTTTCTTGAAGGCACGCATGCCAAACAATTGACCCTAGTCTATGTGATATACCCGACTTGTCAATTAAACGATAAGTCTCACGTCGTTTGCCTTCATTTTGCAGGATGCTTGGAGAGAATTTAGAATTGATTTGGTGTTGAGTTTATAGGTATAGTTCTGTTTAGGCACTATTACATGGTTCTACTTGCTTCTTATATCCCCATGTTCTTACAACTTTATTTTGAGGGCTACTTATTGTAATTTCTTCCAAAACTCCCTCCACTTTTTTTTTTTGGGCACATGAAGGAGGCCTCACTCCCTCCACTGTCCTTGTCCCACAACACAAGTATTAGGTAGGTAATGAAGTAGATAGCACAAATAATAGCAATTTGGACCCCTTAAACATTATTTCAGGGTTAAAAATTTGGAGGTGTGTATAAAAAATATTATTTAAGAAAGAACAACACCTTAAATAATGATTAGGTTTTTAGGAGGATTAGTTTTATGAATGTTGGTTGTGGGGATACCTTAACCAACCAAAAAAGTATTAGGTGGGTAGAGTTTGTTGTCATGGGACTCTCAAGTTTTTAGAAGCATCTTGGTCTTTATTTTTGACTTGGGCAAAAATGAAATACGATGCAAACAATATCATTTAGGAACCTACTTGGTTGTTTCTCAAAAGTTTATTTGACCTGCATTTAGAATGTTCTGTTGCTAAATCCAATAAATGATTGTTTCTTGCAAATGGACTTTTAAAAAGCGGACACTGAAAACCAAATATACACCAAGTATCATTGGTTCATTATCTTAGGCGAAAATGAATTTTGATGCGAACAATATCATTTAAGTATCATCGGTTCATTATCTTGATAACTAATACCGTTATATAAATAATTAAATATTCTACCTATCTTTATCTTAGATGGTATTAATTATTATTAAATCACAAATAAACAAATATTACATGACAAATTATTGACAATTATATACTCCCTCCAATTTCATATATAAGGCATATTTAAGAAGAAATTGATGGACTTTTTTAAAATCACTTTGCATAAAATAGTGGATTATTAATTACTTTATTTTAATTATACAATTTTCACAATTTTTATGAGTAGAGTAAAAGGTTACAGATGGGATAAAAAATTATTTTAAATATATTTAATAAGAATACACTCAAAATTTTCTTTTAAAAAACCAATATTAATAACATAATTACATTTTGTTAATTCCAGAAAAATAGTTGGAGATAGATGTGAAAGTGACTTGTATAAGTATGTTCCTTAATCCTTACATCCCGTGAAAAGCATGTGTGATCACCGTTCTTTGCCCTCCTACGTATTGTGGCATGACAAAGATATTGACAAAACCAAAATCAACAAAGGAAACAATTATTTGACCAAAAATATATTTAAATTCTCTAAAGTCCATGTATATGAATTTATATGAAGTTTTCCTCTTTTAATTTTTCACTTAGTTTATTATTTTTTATAAAATATAAAACCTCATTTCTCTATTTTAAAAAGACAAATGTCATATAATTCAAGGATTCTCAATTTCAAAGGATTCAAATTCATAAAAATAACCTTAACTAAAAATATTGCAAATGACAATAATCCTTTGTCAGATCCACATAAGCATATTATGAAAACTTCGTCAAAATGGAGCTAATAGACCTCAGAAAGGGAGATAGTGAAAAATCAATTTTAGCACACATGAATGTAATGGCTATTCTTTTTGGAATAGATCTTGCACCTGAAAGATTTAACGACAACCTTGTCTTCATCAAGTGTTGGCATGAACTACTAGGTATAAACTATAAACAAAAGCTTGATGCTACATAAATAAATGGCCTCTACACGCTTTACGGACATTTGATTTTGAAAGAAGCAAATTTGAACCCAAAAGGAAAAATTGTGCAACTAAAATTGGGGAAAAACTGAATTCCTATCACTGCTTTTACAAGTCAACATAGTCCGTAAGACAGGTGTCAATAGTAATATCAAGCCACGTGTTTGTTGGGGTTTTCTCCGTTAGTCTCTCAACTCGCTTTCCGTATTCATCAATCAGCTCATGTACGACCGCTACCATAACCCCTTCCGCGGTCTCGGAAGCCTCCGTAGCCTGATAAATAGATAGAGTAAAAATATTCATCAACCAAGGTACAGTTTGAAAGCCAAGCATTTGATTGATGTATGATTTTTGGATAATGTGTCATGTGAACACATGTTTTGAATCTGGATGTTGTATAACAACAAAGGGATAGTGCTCATTCACATTTCCAACTCCGGTAGTTCCGTGCAAGCCTTACAATTATCCACAACTCAGGATAGCTTCTCTGGAGGGTTAGCAGAGGATAAGATAAAATATTATTTTTGTTTAATGGACGGGACCAAGAATAGGCAACTGATCCCTTTGAATAATTATTAAAGATTCTGACATTGCCTGTAGTTTTACATGGAAGTTTAATCGTACAAGTTACTTCCAGTGATCAGGGGAGTTAATATGTTTGTCCAACCGTTGAATCAGCGTGATGTGATGTTAATAATAATAAACCGCTTATCCATAATGTTTGGTAGAAAATAAATATAACCACGTGCTACAAACTAAGTTATCCAAAATCCAGCCAAGTCAACTAACCTGAAGGTGGAGGAGGTGCACCACGTTCCATTGCTGGCCAATTCAGAACTCACTTTCTGTCCAGCTTCCTCAAGTATGGCTATAAGTTCCTCGGCAAATCTGGCATTAGCAGCTGTGAAGAATGTGTGTGCAGTTCCTTTTGCACCAGCCCTGCCAGTTCAACCAATGCGATGAACATAGTCTTCCAGGGATTCTGGGAAGTCATAGTTTTATTACATACTTCACGTCCTTCACATCTGCAGCATCCCAGACCACGGAAAGGATCAGGATACACAGCCACTGTGCAAAGAGTTTTTCTAAGACAACCACAGACTGATTTTGTTTTCTATGGGTGCAAGGTCAGATTGATAGGCACATAGGACAAAATTCAATGATTTGAACCATAAAAGTTGAAGCCATATGTCAAAGAGAGTTGGATTTTGCCACTGAAACAACAAAGTTATGAATGACTCTAAAATGAAATGAGATGGATGGTTGGTCACCCGTGGCAGAATGCAATTCCCTTTTGAGAAGGCAGTTAAATCAAGCAGAAGATTTATCGATCACAAAAAGTTGTATAGATGAGACAGCAAGCCAACAGCATATATAAGGAAATATACCACACCAAGCTAACGCTAGACTATTTGTTGTAGACACTAAATAAATTACAGGCATAGGAAAGAGGAAGTTTATGATCATGACCTGACAAGTTACAGTTAAAATGGTTGGCAATAGTATTTCAACACAAAATTTAGTAATTATGGATGGCCCGAAATGGAAGGACAAGAGGATGATGAAACAGAAACAGAATTAGTACTTAATGTACATATATATGTGCGCGCGAACGCCAACAGTTGCGTATTCAATGTCAATACTTTCCCTTCAGAAAAGCACTGACTAGCTTTACAACTAGAGCCAAAAAGTAAATTCATTAAATATTTGATTAAGCAGTCTGCAAACCTAGACCACGAGCTGCAACATATATTGCAGTCATGATAGGACTCTTTCCAGATCTAAACTCTGAGAACACCCAATCCCTTTCTGCTTGACTTTTGTCTCCGTGAATTGAAAGTGAAGGCCAACCATCCATACGGAGTTGCCTTGTTATCTGATCACCTCATTTCTTGGCATCCATGAAGATCATTATTCTGCCGCCATCCATTATGTCCTCCGGCAACTTCACCAACCTGCAAAATTGGAAGTTATTGTTGACACCATTAGCAGGTCATATATGACAATGAGGGTTTAAAGATGAGGGGGATACAAATAGATTGAAAACGTCTCACTTATCATATTTCTGTTTTTCAGGAACAATGTCAACATATTGTCAGATTGCATGGATAGCTTTTAAATCCAGAGAACAAATAATTACCTGGACAATAATGCAGAAAACGTTAATTCAATCAGTAAAATATCAACAAGGTATTTGCAAAAATTCCTGTTTTCCTCATAAGGATATAGATTTAAAACAGGCCTGTTTCAACCTACAGTGCAATGAAATTAAAAGAGATGACAACACATCCAAACACGACAATATCTTACTTTATATGGATTGTAAAGGAACTGGCTTGCCAAGTGTTCTACCTCCTTAGGCCAGGTGGCACTCCAGTACAAAGTTTGACGGTATGGACAAATCTGTGTAGAGTAAAATTCTAACATTAACCAGATACTTGAGTACAGACAGGTTCTAAGCTGGAGCTTCAGCAGTCTGACTTAGGACAATTAAGAAAATTAACATGAACTCTTATGATGAGCACATCTAAATCCTATGTTTCTTCTCTTCCTGGGAGGAGCTGTGTAGGCAGGGTGATGTCAAGTGATTGATTCCGAATTGAACATTTGTCTGAAAGCCCGACTAGTGGATATCACATTACTATACATAATTAGCTATGCAGTAGCAAACTATTAAAGTCATGAACCATAGATGATCAAACACTATAAACCACAGAAACACCGACACACACACACACACATATTAATTTTAATAAAATTAAAAAGCTCATATAGTTATTTTGACGGCATTATTTTTTAGATTTATTTCACAATGATTACTAATTTAAATATGTACAAGTAAAGGTGCTCATACTTGTCTTGCCCTTATCAAATTGGAACAAGTATGTCCTATCCCAAAATGGAAGAGACAAGACAAAAATATACTCATGACAAGATATGGGATTATTATTGAGACGTCTCGTCCCATCCCAAATATATTATTATATTTTTTTCTTTTTATTAATATTTAATATTTTATTTATTCAATTAGAGTCAACATATTTATTTTTCGTTTATTTTTTTTTTTACATAACCATATAGACTCACTTAAATCATGTAACTCAATGATGCTGTTATTATTATAGTATTTATAGCCTGAAAGTCATTTATAGTTATTGTAAACTTGACTTTAAATTATTGTTGTGATTATGTTCATTTACTTTAAGTTGTAGCTACTGTAACTTAATGAATTTATATAGTTCTTATGATGTTTTAATTTTCAACTTATCAAATTATATAATTTAATAAATATTATTACACAAATCTCTCTTCTATGTTTTGTTTCTTTTATTAAGACATTCCATTCTCAATTTTAAACAAGACGGAACACAACAAAAAATCAATTTCATTCATTTTTCAAGACGAGACATGAAATAGAAGTATCTAAATCCCGTCCTATCTTGTAAACACCTCTATATGTAAGTGACATGTCATGGTCCTAATGAGTTCTTATAACTTGCCTACATTTTTTTTCCAAAAAAAAAAAAAGTTACATGTCATTTGTCTGTATTTTGAGGAACCTAATGTAATACTTTTTTAAAAAATAATAATGAATAGTGAATAAATAAGTTCCATTAAATCATGAAAGAGTACTACGTTATTTAAAAAAACTATATGATTTAAGTACATGGGTCTTTGTGAAATAATTTTTCTTTGTCTTTTTTTTTTAACTTGCGCTAAACTTTTCTCATATTTATTTTAGCATGGGCATTAAGTATGATTGTGTCAGCCCAAGTTATTTGGGCTATCATTTCTGGTTCAAACCCAGATTCCAAATCTCATGTCTCCATTGAAACATGATCCTGAAATGGGCCATTGCATGTGATTTGTTCATATTGTTTGGGCCTAATGTGATTTCTTTATGTACTACAATATTTCCCTTTTCAAAATTTACATTGGACTGTACAATGCTCTGAAGAATATAACATATTTATGAATTATACATAATATGAACAATTATAAATTAGAAATGTAAATATATAAATACAAATACACCAATATTAAATTTTAAAAAAAGGCAGTGTTGGCCAAACCCAAAACAAAACAAAACAAAAAAAATCGAGACTTGCTTCTTCAAACGGCTTCCAATGATTACTAACAATACCTATATTGTCAATAAGAGCGACGATCACGTTGAAATAATTTTAATTTTCAATGTATGAACCAAATGTATTTGACGTAAAGCTGCTGAATGCATGGCTTAGACAATTGTATTGTATTATATATACATATATATGTATATTCATATATGCTATAAATTTTAATAAATACACCATATTCTCTGCTATAACATGTAATAAGTTTATTTATTTTTTGGGTGTTCTAACGAGTTTATATTTTTAAAGATTGACTTAGACATGTTTGTAGGGTGCCTAATAATAATAATAATAATAATAACAAACTATCAAATATGTTAATTCTGGTAGAAAAGAATGTGACAATTTAAATAAAATATCTTGAGTTTAAGTTCATTTGGATGTAGAACACGTTTTTAGAAAAACTACTCTCAATTGAATCCAACCAAAATAATGAATGTTAACTCTGAAAAGGTGAGTGTAGGGAATGAGTGACTGATGAGGGATAAGGCAATAAGAGAGTGAGTCAAAAGGATAACCTAGAAGCTATCTTCAACTCAAACTTACATATACATACACACACTTATTACTATTCATTTGGATGAGCTTCTTGGATATGCCTTCAATTAATGACCTTCCTCAATATGTGGCATTCCCATCCCCTTAATTATTCACAAATTAAATATGCTCCCCATCTTTCCCTTTCTCATTGCCTTGCCTTAAACACAACCACACATGTCCTTTGTATTGCACCAAGTTTGAACTATATTTCTCATAGTTTATGAAAAGGAAAATGAAAATTAATTAAGGACCGGGGAAAATAAGTAATCACGAGATTAAGGATCACAAAACTCTTAAATTAAATTTAAGGACCATTTTAATTTCACAACTTTGTATTTTTCTTTTGTGAAAGGTGCGGTTTATTATAGCTTTTTTATCATATATTGATTTATGTCAATCAATTCAATGACTCGCTTGGATGTTTTTTTTTTTTTCTTTATGTGATTGATTTTTCGGCTTGCCTTATACTGAATTGAGAGATAAATTAATGGAAATGCATGTAAACCTAATCAATGTAAGTCATACATTGAAACTATGAATGGCTTATCTCTAACATGTTACGAGAAAGGATAGAGTAAGAGAGACAATATAAAACGCGAGTATAGAGAGTGAAGAGTTGAAAGCAAAAGCATTGTCTTTTTGTGATAGAAAACAGTGATAGGAGAAGAGACCTGTTCTTCACAAATTGGATGACACCTCATCCTCCAATTTAATGAATTGCCAAGTTTAAAGAAAGCCGTGAGAGAATCGAAATGGCTCTCAAATTGTGTACTTGTTTTGAATTCCTCAACAATATATCATATCATTTGGATGCTTTACTTGTTTTAATATTGGGCCTACCTTACCTTGTGCTCTTTTTTGATTTCAAATAAGGCCTAAGTTGTTCAATTGGTTTACATGGTGTGAATTTCATTAATGTTGTTTTTATTGTTCTATGTCTTAAAAACAAAAAATATATTAAGATCATAAAATAAAATAAATTTGAAGATTGTTTTTTAATAAAAGAATCAATTATATTAAAAAGGGTAAAAAGCTTTTTTTTTTTGTTCTATTTGTAACTTCTCTTTAGCTAAATTACCTTTAAGAAATATTTTCTTTTTCTTTTTTTGCTGATGGCAAGCCTAGCGTCCTTTTCCTCATTTAGAAGAGATCTTGGGTTCAAGCCTGTCTTTGTTTTGTTTTTTCGTTTTTTTGTTTTTACCAAGAGGGATTAGGTTAGCAATAAATTTTTTCCCCCAAAAAAATTGCCTTCTTATTCTTAAAAAATGGGAAAGACAGTGTGTAATTGGTTATGAGGTCCAAGAAAATAGCCCATATTCCTATACTCTTTTTGGACATAATTAATATCTATCTTCTCTCCGCAATATATATTCCCTTCGGTTTAAATTATTTGCAAATATCATTAAATATTACAAGTAAGAAAGGTATTCCCTGGAACTTGTTTCTCTTCTATTAGCATTTGATATTTTTGAAATCAGGGATTGAGGAATCTCATCATCCACCAAGACTTTATTAGATATTTTAGGCACCTTCACTTTCAAAACAACATGAGCAGTGATATACAATTATACACGTTAGAAGCAAGATGGTGTAAAACACAATTAAATGGTGAAAATATTATCGTTTTCTTAAATCAAGTTAAAAGATCAATTTAATTGAACCTTTGTGGATGACAAATGAGCAAGGATATGTAACATATATACATATAATGTAGTATAATTTAAATAAATTTTATTAAAATGTTGAAAATAGCTAGATACATTTACTGGGAAGGGACCTGCAACCTGACCTGTTTAAATTTTAATATGGTATGTCTAATAAGGTGGTGATTCTTAAACATCAAATTAATTTGTCCCAAATATGACTTGATCTAACCTATTTTCACAACTCGTGGTCATGGAAGTGGTTCAAAGTTGTTGGGCAAAGGCCAGGAGAAGAACAAATGGGAGACAACAACAACAGAAAAACATAAAGAACATGGGGAAGGGGACAACGTAAGCATAAAGTGGCAAAGAACAAGTGTGATATGTGAATGTGTTGATTCCTGTGGAAGCAACTTGTTCATCAAAGCCTTGTGGGAGAGGCAAATGAAATGGTTAGTTATTTGACGTTTTAGGTTGAAGCCCATGGTTGTTCCACCAAATGCCTGCCTACTTTGCTTCTGTCGCCTTCTTTCTCTTCTCTAACGCAACACAGCATCACTTTTTTACAACATTCTAGACATGAAAGTCAACATAGGAATTTTTTTTTTCCTCATATTTTTTACTTATAAAAGTTCATGTAACTTAGGATAAGTTAAGTTCCATAACCTTAATTAGAAAACATATAGAAGGAGTTATATATTTGTTCATGGACAAAATACTAACGTTGTGAACTGCGGGATCAATCCTAGTATTAGCTACACAAATCTTGGTTGGCTGCAGGTATTTTTCTCTTGTATGAATTGTTTATTAGATTAGATTTGATCTTTTTTTAAATTTGTTTATTCCAGACGTGTAAAATGCATAATAAAATATGATTTTAATTT